TTGAAAATTGGTCAGATGCTAAAGTAGTCTCAATAGCTTTCTGACAATAAATACTTGCTTCATTCGAGTTGCCTTTCTTTTCATGAATAATAGTCATCTTTTCATAACAACATTCGTCGCCATTTGACTATTTCTGTTACTTTCCAATATTTCGATTGCTTTTTCGTATGAATCAAGAGCTAAGTCCAAAGTTCCATATTCATAATGAACGTTTGCTCTTTTTGCGTAACATAATATGAGAAGCGGAGAATTCTTCCCTTTTACCTTCAAGAGCTCAACTGCCCCATTGTACCATTCAACTGCGGGCTCTAACTCATTATTTTCATGATAAGTGTCCGCCATATCTATATATACCCGTACAATACATAGCGTGTGTTCACTTTCGTCTGATACTTTCATATTGACTCCGATCAGTTGATGGTACCAATGGATCACCGTGTCATATCTTTTATATTTTTATAATACTTTACGATATCATTAATACAACAGGCAATAAAGCAGACAACGTTTGTTTGGTATTTTTTTTAATTTCGACCGCCTTTTTGAGCAGTTCTAGTTAATCGAGGAAAACATTATTCCATTGATAATGCTTTTATTAATCTGTCGATTGTTGATAGTGAAGAACAATCATCAAAAGAAGAAAACTTTCATTTGAATGCGAATTATACGACATTTGAACAAATTTACGGGACAAAAAGCTCTATTTAAATTCAGCAACTATTCAATGATAATCGTAAACGCCTGTTAGTACTTGGTCGTGCAGGGATTGGAAAAACAACATTTTGCCAATATATTGCGTATCAATGGGCCAGGGGAAAATTATTTCAACAATTCCGATGTATTCTGTGGATTCGATTTCGTTTTCTAAATGCTACACGTTATCCAAAAAAGCCGAATAATGAACAGTATACACTGACAGACATTGTTGAAAAAGAATGTTTTCCGAACAAGCTCACTGATGACGGTCTGTCTGTCCTGCGTTTTATTCTTGGTGAAGTACGTCAAGCTGTTTCGACCACTTCACCCACAATACTTTTATTATTAACGCGAATGTTCTGATGAACGTTAACGTTATTTTATATGAACGATGTTGATCTTGTGTTGAATAAATAGTATTGCAAAACGTTATATAACAATTTCACCTAGTAGTATACCAAGTGAAACAGCTTTCTCCATTACCAGTTATGTTTAGTGAAAAATCAACGCTCGTTTGTCCCAAATGGGTTAGGCTACAAGTATTCGTCTGTCCCTATTCTGGATTCAAACCACCCCGCGGTGATAAAATGAGTGGTATTCCTTTAGTGGGTGTTCCACCGAGAAGTATCGGTGACATTATAGCTGGTGTTTCACATAACTGGAAAATATTCCACCTCATCAGAATGAACCCAATCAGAAACTTCTAGAGAAAAATGTTCCTTACATCAAAATCTGCGAATAATTAACACAAAAATTTATCACATCACAAAACTGTTCCACTTCTGATGTTTTGTAATCTTATTTACCTACTGACAATTTTACACGATATTAAATGATGATCATCTGCTGTCACATTCGCTGTGCTCTGAAAGACTAAGAACACGAAGTGAAAGTTTGTACAAGGAGAAATAGGTGGAAATCTAAAAATTTTAGCCACTATATACCTCTCCCCCTAACACTTTGTGAACGTACGCAACTTACGGACAATACTGAATATACATTGTATATGCAGACAAGCTAACGCGGACTAGGTAACGAAGAATCTTAATAAAATTAAGACAAATTAATGTAAACATGCAGACTCGGGCCATAGGTTTCGGCCCCATCTTAGTTCATCACGTTTGAATGGGGGAGGTACACTTTAGTCCCAAGGTCTGCGCTGATAAGCTTTTTAACCTTTGTTGGAGTGAAATAAAAATTCGAACCTTCTGATCCGAAGGATGACCGTTTAGCCGGCCACGCCGAATAATTGTCATTGCATGCATTCACGGAATCATGCGTTTTTTGTAAGAAGCATTTATGAACGATCACAAACTAATTTTCTTTAAAGTATGCTCATTTTACTTTCCAGATAATAACTTGGAAAGTTTTCTCCTCAAAAATTAACATTTTAAAAAAGGTACTCTGTAACAGTCTCTGACATCTTCCACTAATCACTATCATTCTTGTCTACTACAAACTCGTCGAAAAACTGGAGAAGAGTACCTTCAAATTTGTTAGCCTTTTAGTCTGGAAATTGCTAGAATAAACACTAATTTTATCGTGAAGGGAATCTCTCTTTTGGATAAAACGATAAAATTTGTTCTTTTCTCCATTTCTTGCTATATGTCTCTATAGTATGCATAGAAAGAAGAAAACACCAAAGTTTGTTTCTAGTAGATACTGACTATGGATAAAAGCAGCCTTTTAACCATTTTTACTTCTGTTTTACATACATTATCTCTGACTACCATGGCCCGAAGAGAAAGCCGGAAAGTCATGGTATTTCAGAAAGGTCTCTGAAAACTCATTTGGCTGTTATATTGGAGTAGATACCTACTCTTTCATACGTTCAGCTGTGATATTGGCAGCCTTATAACTCAAAAACT